AATAAGCTCCTTGTGAATTTTATGAATAAAATATCAGTCAAAATTCCATATTGCACTGATAAATATTTTTATTAATATTATAGTCTGGTACAAGGTCACAATAGTGGTGCATATTACGGGAAGTGAATGGAGATTAATTTCCCTAGTTCCATTAAACTAAAACATTTATGTAGTTTTTTTTAAATAATTTCCCTCCAAGCAAAGCAATAAAGCCACTAAGAAAGTCAATAAAAAAAATTAGCAAGATAAATTCTATAAATTCATAAACAAACTATTTCACATTCAACAAGAAATGAAATTATTGATCTTTGATTTTTATCACAGTTTCACAATCAATTGGCAGATCAATAAGTAACACTTACTAATCAAATCAGAAAGGACAATTAGACGTTTGTTAACGAGATGATAATTGATATTTAAAAGAAATTGATTCCAACATAAAATTGTGGCAATTTTCATCATCTTTTGCATCAACAGCAGACATGAATAATTACTGTCAGTGCTTAAAGAATTAACATTGCTTTTTAGTGACACTCTGATATGCACAAAGGTGATGAAAACATTATTTTTGGTTAAGAAAAGTGGCATTAAAGAAAGCAATTAAGATACAGATATTAGTGTGCCATAAAGGACCTTGCATATATATAGAACTTGGTCTCTCCTTACTAATTTAAGAATTTATTTAAATTCTACAGGTGTAAGAAAATGCCTTAAAAATACAAAAAACTATGACCTCCATGCTCTTACTGATCAATGTTTGTTACTTACAAACTGATGCAGCCAAGATGTTCTCACTGATAAATATACATTTGTTATTTACAAACAGATGTGGACAAGATGTTTTTACTGATCAATATACATTTGTTATTTACAAACAGATGTGGACAAGATGTTTTTACTGATCAATATACATTTGTTATTTACAAACAGATGCAGACAAGATTATTTTACTGATCAATATACATTTGTTATTTACAAACAGATGTGAACAAGATTATTTTACTGATCAATATACATTTGTTATTTACAAACAGATGCAGACAAGATGTTTTTACTGATGAATATATATTTGTTATTTACAAACAGATGTGAACAAGATTATTTTACTTATCAATACACATTTGTTATTTACAAACAGATACAGACAAGATGTTTTTACTAATCAATATACATTTGTTATTTACAAACAGATGCAAACAAGATGTTTTTACTAATCAATATACATTTGTTATTTACAAACAGATGTGGCCAAGATGTTTTTTACAGATCCATGTACATTTATTAGTTACAGACAGACATGACTGAGATGTTCTTACTGATCAATATCTGTCACTTATGTGCGATGCGTGATACACGCTTAGGCGATCATGTATCTTTTGATACATGACTGACGAGGCAGATTTTTTCTTCCTCAGTAGGTTGCCATTTTTTTCTGCAGTAGACCAGTTGCCATCCAGGGCTATAGAGCCCGGTCTCTCCTGCTATTTATCCATAGATGGGAGGAGGAGAAGAGGATACATAACTTTCCCAAGGGTATTAGCATGTAAGTTAATGTAATGGATTTGACTGGCATTCAAACTTGGCTCTCCAATTCCTCAATCTGAGCCACTAGCCATTACTCCACCATGCCTCTTTACTGATCAATATACATTTATTGTATATAGTGCAGTTTGATTTTTAAAAATTTACACTCAAATGTTTGTAATACCAAATATGCAAATCTGGTTTAAGGAATAATTCATAATTTATTTATAAGTGAAATTTTATTTATTTATAATTTTATTATTATTATTTTAAATTTTATTTATTTATAATTGAAATATCTGTCAAACCCTCTGTGAAACATTATTATAAAAGCATCCAATCCCCAAAAAAAGAAAAATGTAGATTAGTCTATTTGATGATCCATAGATAAAAAGGAAAAAGATTTCTTTCAAAAATTCCCTCGATGTTTACCTGATATGACATATACCTGGAGACAGCCAGAGAGTGCACTAGTCAAAATAATAATAAAATGTTCATTTGAGTAATTCATTCATATAAATGAATTACAAAATATGTTATTTGATACAGTATTAAAGAAATCTACCAATTCCATTGGTTTACTTACAATGAAATGTTGGTACTGTCTCACCCTCAAGTGCGCAAAAAAAAAGAAAAAAAGTGGAGTGTCAAAAGGAAAGTTTCTCCATTATTTTAACTACCTTCACTCCTCAGTAATGTCTATTGTTTTAAAAAGACATGATTAGAATTTTGATAAAACATCAAATTGAATTTACACATTTTCTTTGTTCTTGAGAATTTATAACAAACTAGCAGTAGAGCCCGGCGTTGCCCGGGGATGTAACAGTAAGAGATAGATCAAGTATCGACCATCATAAAGACTGAAAAATAAAATTGACAAAGATTATTGTTTAAGGTTGACAGATACGCATGTCTTAATTAGTTTTTTTTTTTTTTTTTTACGAATTGGTCAAACCCAAATTCAAACAAAAACATTGTTTACAATCGTTATGGGTCTATCGATTGGTGAATAGAATTTTATTATAAACAATTGTCTTGTAAATGGAATTTTTAAAGCATTCTGAATGTAATTAAAAAAAAAAAAGTGTGCAAGACAATAAGAAATACTACCTGCCAAAAAAAAAAAAAGTGGATGTTTGTTTTATCGGCTGAAAAATGTAAGAAATCCGATCCCATATATAAAGAAACACACACACACACACACACAAACAACCTGGATTTTTTAACCTAAGTCACTCCACGGAATCGCTAAAACATAGAGCATAGTCTGATGAAAAAGACGCCTAAGTTTATGAAAACAAAATTTTATCGTCAAAATGCTTATTTTTTTATGAAGAGGATAGACTAAATTTTTTTTTAATTATTTTTTTAAAATTTTCCCATCTTTTAGAATATTCTAAATTTTGATTTAAAAAACCTTGTTTCTCTTTGTTGCAACAAGGGGTAGTAAATAACATAGATAATTTTTAGCGCATTTTTTTTGTATTTACACACATTAATTTGGAAAATCTTGCAAAAATAAAAATAATTGTCAGATGTTAAGGAAACTTTCAGAAACTATTCACAGATGATCGAAATTATTATAAATATTTTTGTTTTTTTTATTAAAGTCATGGCAGAAATATTTTTTTTTATATATTTATTAACACCCCCATAACTAATTTTATGAAAAACTCTAGAAATTCGAGACCATCGGTTTTAGTGATTACAATAGTTAAAAAGCACAAGGCTTTGAAGAATGCAAATCATGTTTTTTTTTTTTTTTTTTGGCCAACGTACCTGAAAATCAGCTGTGAATTGTAACATACAAAACTCAATAAAACAAATATATTATTTAGTTTCAAATGCTTTTATTTGTTTTAATGAATATGGACAATATTTTCTGAAAGCAAAAAATTTTTTCAATGAAAATTGAATTTTTTAATACAATTATTTCTTATTTCTTTAATTTTAAAAAGATTTTTAAAAATGTTTAAATCGAATTTTAAAAATATTTTAACATTAGTTAAAAAGCAACATCAACCTTTCAAAATGTCCGTGTGAGATTGTCATTGTCTGGCGCTTTGAAAATTGTATAATTTGGACCAATCAGATTAGCCATGGTAATTAAGAAATGTAATTTTTGTGTTAATAGTCGGACACTAATTATCAAGCACGGAAGACCAACCAGAATACAATTTAGTTGCATTATTTGAGTTCAGCATTGTTCTCCGCTGTTAAGCCCTTTACTTTTTTACGTAAACACGTATGGAGAAGTTAATTTGAGTTTTCAATTTCAACTGAGAAGGGTACCTACAAGTAACAGTATCATCTTATGAAATTTAACTACTGCTAAACTTTAATTTATATGATCTTATTTTTATATTAATCTCAGTTATGACATTTTTCCATAAATGAAATATCAAAATTAATAATAAAATGAATGGAAATACAAATAACACAGTAAAATGTAATAAATGTACATAAAATTATAGTATTTTATGTACACTTCTGATAAAATTTCATAAGAAAGGTACCTAAATTAATTAGATACCTTTTTCTTATGAAATTTAATCTTGAGTCTTATTTTTTAATTTCTTTATATTTTCCATAAAGCATAAATAAACGTAAAAATGAAAGCTAAGTACAAAAAAAAAAAAAAAAAAAAAAAATTAGAGCGCTGAAAGTTTTTCTTAAAAGTAACAAGGTAAATAATTTGTTCACTTAAATAATTTCACTTCCTTCCATCCGTAGAAAGAATTCTTCTCCCGTAAGTTATCTAAACGTCATGAATGTGCCTTTTGTCAATCGTCAAGCGATGCGAAAGGTTATGACCTGCTTTGTTTTATTTTCAAATTACATTTTTTCAGCGCAGAAGCTAAGTTAAGCTTGGTTCAAAATATTTTAAATAAACAGTATAATATCTTTTTGTATTAAAATCAGTTTTGAAAAAATGATAATTGACTTTTAAAAGAATATCAAAGTAAGATTTTAATCTTTTTTTATCAAATCGAAAAAAATGATTGAAAATGATTATCTGCTCTTTTTTTGACAAAAAAAAAAACAATATTTTTAACGAAAATTTCAGACATGCTAGGAACGATTAAAAAATGTAAAAAAATAACCACCAAAATACTTTGATCCTTCCTCTTTAAAAATAATATGAACATTAGACGATAAAATTTTGTTTTCGTCAAGTTAAATCTCTTTTTCATCATGCTATGCTCTTTTGTTTACATTTTCGTGGGTGAGTTGTCCCCTTTCATTCTCACGATGTGTCTTAATCGTGTTTTTAAATTGATTTTATTAAAAAACAACTGTATTTTTCCCATTTTCGGCCCCGTTAGAACAACCACAAGGTAATTTTATGTAGTCCTGTGAAGTTTTGTTGAAATCGGCTAAAAAATGTAGGAAATTCGATCCAACATATAAACGTTACAGACACACACACACAACCTGCGTTTTATAATAAGTAAGATAAGATATATTAAACACTATTAAGGGGCAAGGAGAAAAGAGAGCAAGAGAAAAAAAGGGCAAGAAAAAAGAGAGCAAGAGAAAAAAGGGCAAGAAAAAAGAGAGCAAGAGAAAAAAAGGGCAAGGAGAAAAGAGAGCAAGAGAAAAAAAGGGCAAGGAGAAAGAGAGCAAGAGAAAAAAAGGGCAAGGAGAAAGAGAGCAAGAGAAAAAAAAGGGCAAGGAGAAAGAGAGCAAGAAAAAAAAAAGGGCAAGGAGAAAGAGAGCAAGAGAAAAAAAAGGGCAAGGAGAAAGAGAGCAAGAGAAAAAAGGGCAAGGAGAAAGAGAGCAAGAGAAAAAAAGGGCAAGGAGAAAGAGAGTGAGAGAAAAAAAGGGCAAGGAGAAAGAGAGCGAGAGAAAAAAGGGCAAGGAGAAAGAGAGCAAGAGAAAAAAAGGGCAAGGAGAAAGAGAGCAAGAGAAAAAAAGGGCAAGGAGAAAGAGAGCGAGAGAAAAAGGCTGAGACGAATGAAAGAGAGTGAAACAAAGAACATATTCTAAAATCTAATACAATTGTATTGAAACTTATACATATACGAGACACATAATAATGAAAGAAGGCTTAGAGAATCTGACACTCAGAGTAGATAGTAAAGCCAAGCAGGACATAGGAAAACAGTGAGTAACTTACTTAACAAGCTTGTGTAAATGAATGGCAGTACAGGGACTGGGAGGGATAGTAAGGAGGCAAGCATTAAGAGCTAAAAAGGATAGGAAGTTGTGGATAGCCATGTTCACCCATATCCTGAAGTGGCACAGCACATAGAATAAGAAAAAGAGGACCAAATCATAAAAAAAAATTTAAGCAACTTGAGTACATGTCAAAATCCTAAGTGGTGTGTTCTTAGCAAAAGTAAGTTCAACTCAGATAGCTTCTTCCTCAGTACTCTTACTTTGTGGAATGGATTCCCGAGAGGGTGTTTCCCTAAGCACTACAATCTTAGCTTCAAGTTTAGAATCAAGTATTATCTATCCTCATGATATGCGCTGTTTCTTCCTTCCCCCTAAACAGCATAATTCAGTAACCCTCTACTTTGAGTGGTTCTTGGGACTTGTATTGGATGAACAAAAGTAAAAAAAGTGTATATCTATCCCTAACTATTGGTCTGTATCTATTAGTTCTCTCCAAATGATTTCCAAGCTTCATGGTTTTTATATTTCGTGTTTCTTTTAAGGAATAGATAGGTCCACCTATCATCTGATTCACACTCCACCCCAGTATTTTGAACATGAGTAGAGGTTTATCATGTGTATCCTGTTTAGGATTAGGTTCCCAGTTCCTTCTAAAGTCAACTTCAATTCGATACTTCTGAAGTTTCTGTCTAAAGTCAGAAACTTTATTTACTATTTATTTATTTGCCTCAATAAGGAGTAGATAGGTTTGCCTATTGTCCAGTTCACACTCCTGAACTGGAATAAAGATTTATCTTTTGTTCCATGTTTAGGATGAGTTTCCAGTTCCTTCTAAAGTCTTTTTCATTCCCTTTCACTCCCAGTAGCCCTTTGCGTCTTAGTGGCATTATCACCTTGCTTGGGGTGATTTGTTTGAAAAACAAAAGAAATATGTGCTTGTCCACGTCTCAGTACATTTGTAATTTGGTATCCTGATATTTAAGTGATGTTTTTTTTACCTGTGAACTGAATAAAGGTGAAGCAAATAAAAATATTTACAGTCGTATGGATAAAAGCTTTTTGAAGGAGGGAGCACGGATCTTGCGGCAAATAGCTGTACAGTCATCTTTGATTTGTCAGATTCTTTCTTTTCCCCTTGATTTGTAAACAAATGATCAATACCTGATAATTGTAATTCTATGAAACTGCAGTGAATATGAGAGAAAGAGGAAAAGTGGGGAAGTAAAAGTGAGTTTAGATGATGAATAGAGATAAAAGGGCGGAGACGATGGGAATGAGAAAAAAATTAGGGATGGGTGAGGTAGAGAAAAGAAAAGAGGAGGAAGGAGGTGAATGAAAGCGAGCAAAAAAGACAATGATGAAGTGAAAGTAAGAGAAGGAAAAAGAATGGGGGTGATGGAAAAAAAGAGAAAAATAAAAAAAATGAAAGGGCAAGGTGCAGGGGAAAAAGAGGACAAGTTAAGAGACAAGGAGAAAGAGAAAAGAGGCAAGGAGAAAGAGAGAGCAAGGAAAAAGAGAAAAGAGGCAAGGAGAAAGAGAGAGCAAGGAAAAAGAGAAAAGAGGCAAGGAGAAAGAGAGAGCAAGGAGAAAGAGAGAGCAAGGAGAAAGAGGCTGGGACAAAGAACAAGTTGAAGGAGAGAAAAAGACAAATGACAAGTTGAAAGGGAGAGAGAGAGAAAAAAGAGATATAATGAAAGAAAGAAAAAGATAAAAGAGAAAAGATGAATGAAGGAGAGAGAAAGAAAAACATATAACGAAAGAAAAATAAAAGAGAGAAAAAAGATAAAATGAAAAAAAAGATGAAAGAGAAAGAAAAAGATGAAAGAGATATGAGAAAAGATGAAAGAGATGGAGAGAGAGAGAGAGAGAAAAGACATAATGAATGGAGAAAGAGAAAAAAGATATGATGAAAGTGAAAAAAATGAAATGAAGAGGTGAAAGAGAGGAAAAACACATAATGAAAGATGAAAGAGAAGAGATGACGGGGGAGAGAGAGAGAGAAAAAAAGATGTCAGAAAAGATGAAATGAAGGAGAGAAAAAGAGATATAATGAAAGAAAAAAATGAAAGGGAAAAAATGAAATAAAGGAGAGACAAGAGATATAATGAATGAAAAAGATTAAGAGGAAATAAAGGAAAGAGCAAAAAAAAAGATATAATGAAAGAAAAAAAGATTAAAGAGAAAATGAAATAAAGGAGAGGGAGAGAAAGAAAAGAATAAAAAGATGATAAATTGAACAGATTGTGGGTGTAGAAAATAATAGGCAGAGTAATAGATCCAGATAGAAAATTCAGATTGGAATGCCTAAGGTGGTTGGTTGCCTGTGAACACTGACCACCTCCTGGTGACTCCTGCAACAAGGCCAATGGTTAATGCTTAGCATTAACTTTGATCAAGTCAGGTTGAACAAGATGAGAATGTACACATCATCACTAATGTCTGCATCCTGAAGAGATTATTCTAGTCTCACCATCTGGTGATCCTAACCGACCATTGTTACAAATCTCAATCATGAGCTGGATATATATATATATATATATATATATATATCCAGCTCATTTCAGCTTTTGGAAGTAAAGTCTGATGATCCAGAACCCTGTTAAAGGGGTTATGGTGAAATAGCTTATTACATGGAATCTTAACGTAGTCTGTCTTTTATTCAAATATATATATATATATATATATATGCGTGTGTGTGTGTGTGTGTGTGTGTGTGTTCAAATATAAATAAAAATACATTTGAATAAAGACAAAAGCACAATATTTCTTTACCAAAGCGTTTTATCCTCTGACAGACTTTATTGAGGTAAATGTAAGAATTTTATTTGGAAACAAATATTTATAAACAAAAGAAAACAATACCATTATGGTTAGGTTTTTAAAATTTTATAAATTTGAGAACACTCATAAACATTCTTCAGGCTAACAGTGAAAGTCAAATTAAAAGCTTGGCTTCATTTAGTATCCTCCATAGTTTACCTTGACTTTCACCATTACCCTGCCTATATATATATTTTGTTTGCTCAATTCTGGGAATTTGACTAAACCTTTCTAATAATTTGGCACGCTCAAATCACTGTGCTGATAAAAAATATGGCGTTAGTTTGTTTACATTGTGCAGATCAGTACGAAAATTTCAGTGAGTGCGCAGGTCAGTGTTGCCTACATTGTGTGAAAATTTTGTGTGAATTGATTGGACGGCTTTTGAAATAGAAAAAAAGTTATCTTGATAATAATTTGGCACACAGTGTATATATATGTTGCTTGAGTTTTGACGGTGAACAAAACTTTAGAGAATCTTCATATTGTCCTCGGCCCATTTCAGTCAATTTTGAATGTGATTTCTTGTCAATGGAGGCTTCGATACAGGTTTGACTGTTGTTGCTATTTCCCTCAGATACCGACACCAAGTACTTTTAGACACAGTAGGATCCCCAATACAACTGAAAAGCTCTTGACTGGTAAGTCCAGGGTTCTTCGTGGCCTCTCGTTTAAGTCATGACATGAGACGAGATGAAATAACTCCCGGCTTGCCTTTATCTGCCCTTTTGCGTACTTGTGTAGGGTCGGTGGTGAACTTTTTCACTGTTTGATGACACCTCCCTATCATTTTAGAAATTTCTAGGATAGATTTACCTTTTGAGAGTTCTGAGGTGATAGTTTTCTTTTCAGCATCGCTTAAACTGCTTTTACGGCCCATCTTTTCACTAAATTTTTACACTTTTCTAATAATTTGGCATGCTCAAATCACCGTGCTGATAACAAATATGGCGCCAGTTTATTTACATTGCACAGATGAGTACGAAAATTTCAGTGATTGCGCAGGTTAGTGTTGCCAACATTGTGTGAAAATTTTGTGTGAATTGATTGGATAGTTTTTGAAATATTAGGAAAAAAAGTTATCTCGATAATAATTTGGCACACAGTGTGTGTGTGTGTGTGTGTATATATATATATATATATATCATGGACTTTCATATCATGAATGATAAATGAGGGTAAGCAGTAAATGGTGTGTTTTGTTTTACAGTTATGCATGCTAGCTATTGTGGAGAAAAATCAGGTAAGGTAAAGCCATATATCATTTGTGCTTTCTAAAATGTGATACTAGCCCTGCCTTACTGCAGGTGACAAAGCCACACTGAGAGATGAAATTTGTTAAAGCAGGATTTTGATGGTGTCTCTGCTTCAGAGCTTGATGAAGCTGATCACGGTGCTTCAGTCTACGGTCTTCAAAACCCTTTAACTTAATGAAACATGTCTTATGCTACTCCTTTTGGTTTGATGCTTGGACTCCCCAGATTTTCAGATCAAAATTGAGACCTTTCAACTTGTCTTTCAATCTGTCTTTGTATTGTAAAAGTGGATGTCCAACTGAAAGCTTGCAATTTAGAAGTTGTCCATACAGCACCTTCTTTGGAAGCCTATATATATATATATATATATATATATATATATATATGATAGACAAAAGACAAACTTTTCTCTGCTAACTCATTGTGTCCCTTAAGGAACTTCATCAAGGTAAATGACGAGATTTTATTTAATAAATTGTATTCATACACAGAAGTAACTGTGACAAAAAATATTGTTAAATATTCAAATTCTGAATTTGAGAATGCTATAAAATATTCTTAAAGCTTTCAGTGTAAGGAAAGGTAAACTATAGAGGATTAAAAGTGATGTAATTTATTGCCTAACAAATGAAAACAAATAAATATTGTTTAGTAAATATTGCAGGAGGTAAAACAAGGAAAAGAATCTTTTAGTTTATGTCACTGCGGTTCAAGTAGATAACATGTTTGATTTTAGTTCAGAATGTTCAAACCTTAGAAATTTTTATAAAGCAGTGATTTTAATT